GGGGGGGGGTGTGGCAGGGAGGGGTGTGCAGAAACTGCCTACTGATCCTATTCAGCCTGCCAAGCCTGCTGCTGGGACCCTAAGGAGAGAGGGCTCTTCCTTGTGCTGCTCTGCTGCAGCTGGGGGTGGGTCAGGCCAGGCTGCACAGTGCAGACTCCTCCCCACCCAGCTTCCTTCTGCCAGCAGCTGGGTCTGCACAGATGGGAGCAATGGAGAGCACTAAGTAGCCATTCCACCTGCCTGCCATGAGCCGCTACCACCACGGCACCGCTGGTCTGGCTGCAGCAGAGCAGAGCAGAGTGGTGTGGTGCAGGGCACAGCTCTCCCTCCTGAGGCTCCTGGTGGTGACCAGTGGACTGAATAGGATTAATTGGTGGGCCAGATACGGCCCACAGGCCAAATTTTGCCCACTCCAGATTTACAGAAACAAGTTTTATAGCAGTCAGTATTTCTTTGCTAGTATAGCTATACAGTGGTGAATTATTCAGCACTGAAAACATTAGAGCTTACAGCAAAACAGAAAACTCCCCATGAACACAACATCCCCCTCCCCCTCGTCAGAGAAAGAGAAGGGAAGCGGAAAGTCTCTTGTTAATTTTGCTTTCAGGGATGTGGAGAAACTGAGAAGACCCTTCTTAATGGGAGCTGTTATTTGATTTCCCAAAATAAAATTCCCTCCCCCATGAAGATTTCAAGTTTGCAAAGAAGGCACTATTTAGCAGAAACTGAAAGAATCTCAGCTAGCTTTAGTTATAGCATGGAAAACAATGGCACCCTTATTTGATACATTCATTCCTTTCCTAACTTGTCCTTCATTCCTTCCAGAACTCGAATTCTTCCCGTTACTGACTGCACAGCTAGCAATCCCACCCAGCAGCTAAATCAGATCATGCTGCCTAGTTAGGGTCAGTGTACTGTTGTAGTGGCAGGTGAAGGAATCAAGCATGCCCCACTCATTCACACCCATAGACATGCTCTAATCTGGAAATATATCTGAGGCAGCTCCAGGCTTGTAGCTCAGCACTTGCTCTTGAGCCCTTTATCTCCAGCATGCTCAAGAGTAGCCATTAGATGAGTTTTAACTATAAGGCCCAGTAGTACAGAAGCTGACATCTGATGCTGTGGAAGAAGGGATGGAGGGAAAGTGTGTTTGTGTGAAGCTGACATCTGATGCTGTGGAAGAAGGGATGGAGGTAAAGTGTGTGTGTGCGCGCGCGCGTGTGTGCGCATGCACACATATGCATGCACACACCACTCAGTTTCTGACTATTTACACCAATAAGACAGTAAGTTTCAACAACTGTTTGGGGATGTCTGGAATAGAGGGGGAAGTTAGGACTCGCATCAGACAACAGCTACAGTTTTGTGGTGCAAATAGGCTATTCATCAGCCAGAGGTGACCTGAGCAGGGTGCAGGGCCTGGGGCAAAAATCAACCTGTGCAAGGCCCTGCCCCCCCGATGCAAGGAAGCCAGGGGCAGATTCAGTGGCAGGGGAAGGGGTGCTGAGTGGCCAGACGTGAAGCCAGCGGCAGCACAGACTTGCCGTGGCTGCTCTGCAGGGCCCCCCAAAGCACAGGGCCCAGGGCAGTTGCCCTGATTTGCGCCCTGCTAGGGACAGCCCCGTCAGCAGCTTCCTCTAGCCCAGGGGTGTCAAACTTACTGAGCCAGATCAAGAGCACAAAGCTCCTTCCAGACTGGATCCATGGATCCAGCAGCAGTTGCAACAGGTATGGGCAGCACGGTTCAGGCATCAAGTGGCAGTCTGATGAGGAAGCAGATACGCACAGGGAGGGAGAAGATGTGGGCAGCTGCACTAGTTCAGGGGCAAGTGGCAGCAAGGCAAGCAAGCACAGTATCTGCACAGCCCTTGCTCACCCTCTGCTGCCAAAGGCTGTGTCCATCAGTGTCCAGGGACCCCAAATTTCGTGTTGAGAAACACTCCTGTGGCCATGCCCCTCAACTACCAGTGGGCCAGGTGGAATGGTTTTACAGGCCACATGTTGGACACTCCTGCTCTAGCCCTTTATTATGATCTTCAACCTTGAGTCTGATACTTGACATATCTGAAGACCATATATGCTCTTTAGGGAAGCAGCAGAGACCTAGATTGTGGTAGCACTGTACAGTAGCTGAGGTCCTGAAGAAAACTTCAACAGATTAAGAGAATTTTCTGCCTAGGGAGGCTGAGCAGTCAGATCAATACTGCATTAATTAGGACTATCTGTCAATGTCAGAATGCACATGACAAGCAGACTCTAAGCCTGTGTGCCAGCCAGGGGAAAGCAATCATTTCTTGTAACAGTTTGCTTTGCTTACAGCAATATCTAGCAGCTACTAACACTATTTAAGAACTTGGTACAAGTCTGTTTTTCATACTGTACAATCTTTTGATGTGTGAAATATCTTATTTACTCAAATTCCAGGACAATGTTTTCTCTCTTCCCCTCATTTAACATGGGGCAAACAATGCCTCATCTTAAAATTGAGCACCTAGAGCCAGATCAGGCAACAGAAATCCATTCTATGAAACACTGAGCAGCAGAGAAGCATGAGGGGTAGGGGGCAGAGAGGAGGTGGCAGCAGGGAGAAGGGGTCCCTCAACATTTGCCCCCCCCCC